TCTTACTGTGAGCAGAAACCTCCTTATTATTTGCATTTCAGACGGGAGTTCGCAAGTAAAGTTTTTAAAGCGTCTGGTGCTGTTTTATTTGATCTTTGCTAACACTGGTTTTTTTTTTGAGTTCTTTCTTCAAGAGTTTTAGATGTTTAAGATGGTTTTGCTGCTGTTGTTTTTGTTTTTGGAATGACGAGTTGTATGGTGGTAATTTTTTCTTACTATTACACCTTGCCGGTAATATAAGTTTTTTTATCGGGGTGTTTACGCTAATTTGTTACGTTTTGTTCTTTGTAGAAATGAGGGTGTTTTATTTTTGGAGGCTTTAATCACAGTTCTGCGAAGGGAGCCATACCTGCTTTGAGCAAAAGTTCAAAATTTACTGTGTGAGTCGAGGAATTGTGATAAGGATTTTTTACTGAAAGTGCTGCGGAGGTCTTTACTGATCCATTTTTAGCGTTTATATCTAATGCTTTAATGCTAGACGTGTTATTTTTTCCAAGTTTGTTGCCATAGGGTAGCAGAATATAAGTACATAATTTTTTCTTATTTTGAGTAGCTCGTTTCTTCTGAAAGCAAAAAAGTTCTTTTACTACTCATTTTTCTGGGAAAAAGCGTTTTTTAAGTAAACCGCGTAATGATTGGTCTTAAACATCCACCTGACGGCTGGCGCTTTATTTTCTTTTGATATCTGGTTTCTTCCATTTTAACAAAAAACGTAGAATTGTAGTGCTCTGTCTACTTTGGGACAATAAGTTTACGAGTTATGCTTTTCCATGTATTTCCGTTTTCTTCTTTCTTTTAGTTCTCTGAATTTTTCTGAATCGTTTTATTGGTTCAACTGGGACATTTTTATCACTATTATTTTATTAAAAAACTAACTTTAGGAATTCTTCTTCTTCGGTTTCGATTTTTGATCCTCGTAGTACGTCTAAGGAGAGGGTTTCGCCTCAAGCGATACAAGGTTTACTAGAACTCTCAAGGATAAATTTGGCTGAAGGGCGTCGGCGGGCTGCGTCGCCGGACGGGCGTAGTAGAAGTCCTAGTCCTCAAAGTTCTACAGGTCGCAGTAGTCCAGGTTATCACTCATTTCTTATTGTATTTCGCAACCATCGTTAGAGTTCTTATATATTTCAGACAGCAGGTTAATTTAACAGTTTCATAGAGAACATTCAACTTTTCTGTAAGTAAGAAATGGTTCTGATGACATATTGCTGATCTTTATGAAAATTCTGTTGTTAATTGTGCTGGTCAGAAGCAGAAAACAACATTAACTTGAAGAGCTCTTAATATTGAATATTTATTGAGGTGCTATTGTTGCTTGAATTGTAGAAAATGAAAAAGTTCTAGATTTGTTAAATGAGGATAAGAGTTTCGCTGTATAAGTGGCGCAAGGCTTTTAGAAAGATGGGTATTTTACTTGGTTTTACGGAAGTTTTTCTAATATTCCAGTTTTGAAAATTGATGTCTTTTTCTACGCGGTTCTCTTTTAACCTGTCGGTTCTCGACTGAAGATCTTGTATGTTTTTAGCGTTTGGAATTTCGAGATTAAAAACAATGCCTGGATCTGGTGGTATGCGAAAGTTGAGCTCGTCCCCACATTTACTTGGAATATGTGAGGTGAAGCCTATTTTGTCATCCACGTTAAGCATGATGATTTGAAAACGTGTAACTTTTATGTTTAATCAAGTGTATTTTTTAGGAATCTGAAGAATCTGAGTTTTCCGGCGTTAGTCAGCAGCGTCATGTAGCAACAAGAAGAAGCATTTCTAGTGTCTCTGCTTTATCACCAGTCCACAGACGCACGCTTTCCGCCTCAAAGGTTTCTAGTCACTCACTATCATTTCCCAGACCTTATGAAACATTTTCTTTCTTCACAATGCTACAGAATACTTGTTTTAACTTACCTTGTTTTCTTAATTAGTGCTGTAGCCTTTTACATTTTATAGGCTGCTTCTGAAAGCGGTGTTGGTTCTACAAATATCATGCTAACTTACAGTAAGGTTAGGATGATTCGACCTCGTCAAGCAGTTGTATCTCCCGATATGGCGTCTCGGTATGAGCCACACCTACGCCACCGACTTGGTTCTGGAAAAACTCATCGCAGTACAAGGTATTTTTTGCAGATTTCTTCTATCTTTTTTTCTGTAATATCAGGGGCTGGATTATCTGTACTGCTGTTTCCAGCAGAGGCCACTGTTTTTTATCATTTCGAGTTTCGTCGGGTTCGTTGATATCACTTCATTTAGTTGTTCTTCAAGTGAAGCTTCAGACGATGACAGTAGTGAAAGACGTATGAATCTTCTCGTTTCTCGTTGCTGTAGGTGTGGTAACGATGTCCACGATGACAATGATGACAACTCGGGAGGAGGTTTTTTATCTCAGTTATATTTTGACTATTTTTTTGTATTAGTACTCGTATTTAAATTTGATTGCATGGTTAATATTTCTGCCGATTTTAATTTTCTTTAATTGCCAAGTGTGGTAATGTTTTGATTTTTTTGATAGGTGGGGGCTGTGCAGGTGGTGGAAATAATGGTATAGGGGCTGGAAAAGCCTCTGGTGTTTTTCAAAACAATGATAGGAACTGTATTTCTGATGACACCTTTCTTCACGGCAAAGGGTATCCAGGTATGTGACTACATTAGAATTTCACCCCGCTAGGCTTTGATCGTTATTTGATTTGAGTGGATTTTTTTTTAAAACCTTGGCTTTAAAGTATTAATAGACTTATCAGCAATGGTAATTATTTTAGCTTTAAAATGCTATTTAAGGGAAATTTTGGTTTTTTTATAATGCTACTGGGGAAAAACTACTTTCAAATCATTCTGCAGTCTTGCATCTTTATTGCAAAACAGCGATTTTGCACTTTTGTTTATGGAGCCAAATATTTACACATATAGACAGAATTCATAATTACCTTTAAAATTCTTATTGTGAATGAGCGTTAGGTGGTTTTCCGAGATGAAATCTGGAGAGTAATATATTTCTGAATATGAATTTTTAAAGATTAGGAAGAAATTGTTACCATTTCCTATATTTCAAGTCATATTTGTCGCGATGCTTGTCTAGGAGAAGCTGGTTTTGTTGTGTTGGTGTTTCGTATTTACAGCATGAGCAGACATTTCGACAGTTGTTCCAAACAATGTTTTGTAGTTTTTATTTTATTTTGTTCGTGACAAGAGAGGTAATCAGATTCACTATGCAACAGATTCCTGATAAACGTGAATATAAGTCAGTGTTTTTGTAGTAGTTAGAGGGTTGGATCGGTTGTGTGAGTCGTTTAAAAGTCTGATTATTTTGTGATATATATTTTATATCTTTGAGCTTCTTACACCTTTATCTACGGTTGTTGTATTCAGCGATTATAAAGGGAACGGGAGGGGAAACGAACTTTTGCTATATCAGTAACAGCACTTTTAGTTTCTCATATTTTAACCCCGGTCCCTCACTTAGATACAAATTAATTTTTTAGGTGCTACAGATGCAACGGTGACATATAACAAATACTTCGAACTATGCGGAACGCATGAAAACTTAGATTCTGGTAAACCAATTACTTCAAAACCATTACATCCAATAATGGAACTTCCAGTATCCTTGTTCACAGGTTGTTTCACCAGGTGAGTTTTCCGCATGAATAATTTTAGTTTACTGTATAACTCTTTCGTTACATCTGTTGTAAATTAATTGGCTGTTCTACTAATTCTTTTCTTATGGCTTAGGAGAAGCATGTTTGACAGATCATGTCAAAGATGGCTGTATCTATCAAATTCTTTGGGAGGAAAAGTTTTCAAGGACAGTTCCGTCAGCAGAAGCGAACAGAGTCTGTTAGACGAATGTCGAGAAAAGAGCGGGAGTTTATTGGGTGAATGGGATCGTGATTATTTACGCTCATTACGGGTTTCTCTTTCGGTACCTTGTGTCGACTCGGAAAGCTTAGGGTGTTCATGTCGTCAGGAACAGGAGGAGGAAGTGAGTTTTGGCTTGGTTTTATATTCTTTCAGTCAGGGTTTATTATACTTATTAAGGTGTAGTACTGGTTTTCCCATTGGAAAAGTTATAACTTGTAGTTTTTAATACTGCCTTGAGTTTTTAGTTTTCTTCGGAAGAGGAGTTTGATTCTTTGTCATGGAGCAGTGTAGATTCCGGTTGCCTGTCTGAGAATGAATTTAATCACTTTCCCAAGGCGTCCTATGGTAAAAGGAAAGTTTTTAAAAGAGCCAATTCGGTAGATGGTTCAGTATACTTATATAATGCTGCCCTCGCGTAACCTTGATCTCTAAAGATTTCTTGGGGTTCTGTAAGCAGTCACATTTTGCTAGTTTTTTGCTTAAAACTTATTCTGTCTTCTGTATTTTTGTCTTATGGATCTTTAAACTCTGTATTATCAATCTATTTCTCGTACTGGCATTTTGCTGCTGGCACGTGCTTTAAATTGGAGATAAATTGCCTGCCATTAGTTTGAGGTAGCGTTTATTGAACCTTTTTTTAATGATATCTTGTAAGTATTTCAAGAGCTTCTAAAACTTCCAGTAATTCATTTTCAAGAAAGGTTTTATAATAAGGATCAATAAGAGCAAAAAGTTTAATTTGTCGCTTCTTTAGAACATCTATTTACAGAAAATAAGTCCTGTAACGGAAATGGGCAGTTATGTAATCAGGGTCAAAAAGGGCCAAAGATTTCTTGAAATGAGACTTTTAAAGTCTATAACACAACCAAAATCAGCACCTAAGTGCTCAAGTAAAGAGCTGAATTGGATTTTAAGGCCTCTAATGGAGCGAAAGAATTAGTGTTGGTTTTAAAAAACAATTGTTCATTTATTAGTCCAAATTTTTGGTCAGTGAGAGCAAAATAATTTGATTAGGCAGTTCGAGTGTTAAAAGCAGCATCAGTCGCCCATTTTATAAGGGTGCATCAAACTATATCGCCGGATTAGACTGAAGAGGAACAGCCGGTCAACTTTTTATGAGCTTATAATGTTTATAAGCCTTGTTTATTGTTTGCACTAAAAGTGAGGTAACGGGGAGAGTTGAAGCTATCTTTGAGAACCTAGAAGGCTGTGAGCTTCTTGTTTTCTGGGTACGATTGAATTAGTGCTACACCTTTATCAGTGTTTTATTAACTTTACGGTTTTATTATGTCAGCAGATATTGAGTGGGCGTAACCGGTGTCGTTGTCTTATAGTTCAGAAGAGTTAGCTTGAAATGGCAGGTAATTCTTTTCTAACAATAGAAAACTTAATTTAAAAACTATTTATAATATCTAACATCTGAGCAATTTCTTATTTTAGTTAGTGGAGCATTTGTAAGGGTCTTTCTGAAGTAGCATGACCATTCCGCTTCTTAATGGTATTGTACTCTTCTCTCTTCTTGCTCATACGTTGTTTAATGTGTAATTATTATTGTCGTGCAGTAAAGAAAGCTTTTGTTTTACAGTATTTTGTTAGTTAGTTTAGAAATAATCCTTTTCATTGTTTCTTTATTATCTGTTAATTTCTGAACTCTGCGAAGAGATTCGAATTTGAATTTGTGATGTGTAAAAAGTTTGTTTTCACGGTTCTTTCTTTACTTCCCTAATGGATTTTTCGGTATAGTATATTTAATGAATGGAAAAAATACCAGACGGTTTTTTTTCACTATTGTCTTGCTTGTCTGTTCGGGCAATTTTGTACATTGTTAAAATTTTGCGGTTATAATTATTATGGCTACTATTTTTTGTTGTTTATATTTGTTTCGTATGCTGATAATGTGTTACTGTTATCTAAGTTGACGCATAATTTGACGTACAACGTATGATTTGTAAATTTGCAGGCATTATTTAAATGAGTTTCAACAATTCACACAACTACTTTGTTATTTTTGTTTTTAATAGGAGATAAAAGTATATCACCTTGTAAAAATGCAGTTTTTTGTGATCACTGGTTGTTTTGACGACTTGTTTGCGAATTTTCAGAAAAAACTTGATAGTTTTTCATTTTGTCAACAGCAGCTTAACAAGCATGCGTAGTGAAGTGGGAAATTCAGTTAGAATTGGTTTGTTAATTAGTGTCAAACTGAAGAAGCTTTTTAACTCGGTATGACAGAAATTTTGAAGACGGAAGTAAGGTGTTAAAGAACTGAGTGTTTTATAAATCAGATGAGTCTTGTAAATGGGTGGGTAACGGAGGGACGTGAAAGATTAGTATAGCTGAATAATAGGTGTTGTGTAGATGATGCGATTTTATTGTAGATTATCTGAATTTGAAGTGGAATGGTTTATTTTCGTGCTTGCTTCAAATAGGCAGAGTATATTTCTAGTATTGCAAATTATCCTCTCAGGTACATTGTACTTGTAGATTTTAAGGCACACGAGACCTGAATGTATTCTTGCTTGCTAGTCATTGGAAGTAGTACGGTGAATCTTTGTTCAAGGATGAATCTGTCAACTATCTTGAATTTTGCTAAATTAACTGAGGATTGGCAGTTCAGTGTGTTCATTGAGAATATTAATTTTCAAAGCAATGGAGTGTCATCGTGGTTCGTAAAGGGGGTATTCTTAAAACTATTAGGAAGTCTAACTGCGGTCAGCATTTAAATTATGAATAGTTGATTCTGGTCAAAAGTTGAATAAGTCACGAATAAGCTAGTCTTCAAACAAAAATCTTAATTTCCAGTATGATGCTGCCACTCGTCGTTGTTTCGCCTACACGAATAATATTTCAAAGGAATCATTCACAGTTGAGGAAACCTTGCCTTCAGTGGCCCAATAAGGTTTGTTGGTGACTGGTCTTCGCTATTTTCCAGCTAATTTTAATCTGACTGGATTTAGATCTCAAAAATAGCTTCAGAACTTCCTGCCATTGAACGGTACTGGCATGATGAGGCCCTTTCAGTTCAGTCCACAAAGGTTCTCTACAATTTTTAAGCTGTCAAAACCATTCTGTTTTGCTTTTGTTTATGGCTTTTACCCTTCAGTCAGCGAGAGGGAAGAAATATGTGCTTTCAATGTTTCCCTACCCTTCCGGTCGTTTACACATGGGACACATGCGTGTGTATAGCATATCCGACGTATTAGCGAGATATTACAGGTCTGACGCCATTGTATTCCTTTTGACTGCTCATTTGAAAAATTCTGTTCTTTAGACTAATTGTAGTTTGAAGATGTGGCTTTTTGATTCAGGCTAAATGATTACTCTGTTATTCATCCGATCGGCTGGGATGCTTTTGGTTTACCGGCAGAAAATGCAGCTCGCGAAAGAAATGTTGAACCGAAGGAATGGACACAGGGGTTAGCAAAAAAAAAAAAAAAAAAAAAAGGAAAAAACTGAATTAATTTTTACTCAAAAAAGTCTTTTTAGCAATATTGAAGTAATGCGGAAACAGTTATTACGTTCTGGGATCATCTTTGACTGGGAAAGAGTATGCCGTTGATTCTTCATTAAATAAATCACCTCTGTATAGCTTCTCGTAATATTTAGCTTAATTGAATAACCGAGACTTAATAGTTGGATTTACCAAAACCTTCTGGTTTTCTGAATCAATAATGGGCACTTTTATATGTTCTAAATAACTACTGATAGGAGCAGGTTATGAGGCGTTATGATATGATGAAATCCTTTCAGCTTTTTTGCCCTTTGGGTAATGGAACTGCAAACTAGATTCGAATTCTTTCTAACTTCCAGGGGAATTTTTGCTATTAAGCAAACTTTTGGACATTTTTTTTTTTGGAGTTATGCGGGCCCATGGCAGGTAATCTTTAAAAGTAGTTAATAGCGAATATTAGAGGATTTGCAGGAATTATGTACATGTTCTCCCGACTACTACCGTTGGACTCAGTGGCTCTTTTGTCGCTTGCATTCCCATGGACTTGCCGAGCACCGCCATGCAGAGGTTTGCCTTAAACTAGAATGAATTTACTGCATTTCAATGGTTAAGACTATTGAACATTTTTAGGTCAATTGGGACCCTGTCGACAATACTGTACTTGCTGAGGAGCAAATTGACATCAACGGTCTCTCGTGGAGGTCAGGAGCTCGCGCTGAAAAACGAAAGTTGAAGCAGTGGCACATTATGACTACAAAATTTGCAAAGGTGCATTTATTTCTGTTCAAAAATTAGTTTACTTTTGGTGTTTAGCAAGTGACCCTTGCAGCTTTTCTGGTTTAGAAATATCATAAACGTGCGAAGCTGCTAGTATTTACTTTAAAGTTAATTTAGCGCCTTTCTGATGGTTTGAAACGGCTAGATCAATGGGAGGATATTGCTGATATCCAATCTAATTGGATTGGTCCGTGCGATGTCTGGCGGTTTATGCTTCAGATGAAGGTAGTTTAACTTTCTGAGTTCTCACATTAATTCCACTTTATAATCTCGTTTTTTTAGAAAAAGAATGGAGAGGTTTCTGAGGAGTTCTTTGATTTGAGAATTAGAGATCCTTCAGAATTATCCCAATGTGCAATGTTGGTAATACGTAAAGGACATCCGTTGGCAGGTGGCCTTGGACATGATGCTAGTAAGTTTTTTTAAGATTTCTTCTACGAAACTTATTTTAATTAATTATTGCATTTACACTGTATTTCGTCACTTGCAATATTGCCTTTGATTGGCTTAATTTTTAAGCTGTTACTGCTAATTTCCTATTATAATTTCCTCACCTATTTTAAATCAAGCTTTAAAGTAGCTTCATAATTCTCACTGAAAGATTTTTGAAAAGAGTAAGTGGGGTTTTTTAGGTAATGATTATCAAAGTTTTTTAAAGACTACAGTAAAAATAACATATAAACCAGATGTCATATACGTGGCCTAATTTTTTGGGAAACTTTTTGCTATCTATATTGTATTACATGTAAGTGTAAATGCTACCATCTTAATAGTTAGTTCCAAACTAATTCATCTTAGTTATTTTTTGGTACTTTGCATTAGTACCTGTGTTTTGTAACATTTAATTCTCGTATTTTGTTTGAACTTTTGAATCATTGACACTGGCGCTTCGGAATGACAAGAGTTTTTGGCTTTTTTTTGGCTGTTCTAGAATTTGGTCTACACTCAATTCTGACCTGATTATATGCTGATGCTGAAAAGCTTTTCGTTATTTTTTTAGGTCTTTTAGACACTGTCGTTTTGAATTTTGTTACTGGCCGGGAAATGTCAATTGTTTTTGTTCCTGTTGATGAAACTTCCAGTGAATATTTTCTAAATGCTCGGTTGGCTCACAAATCATCAAGCTTTGATGCTGTCCTGGCTAAAAAATTTAACGTCAGTCTTAATATTGCTTCTCCACGTCTTGATGCTGAAGATGTCATACAGATTGCTCAGGTATATTTTCATTGTTAAAGCTTATGCTAGAAGAAAAATATTTTTTGCTTCAAGTTGCTTTCGTCATAGGGTACTGTTTTACTCCAGGAGATCATTTTATTTGTAGGATGCCTTTTGAAAAATTGATCTTGAATATGGGGGGGG